TATATTATTTGCTCTCGAAACCGCAGAAACCACTCATTGATCGACATCTGTCTGGGTTTGGACAGGGTTCATAATTTGGAAGACTCGTTGGTTTCTCTGAAAGGAAATAGTGAGAATGGGAAAAACATTGAACCCTGAAGTACTGAGGAGGGAGAACAGGGAAGAAGTTCAACTTTTGTTTGGAAGGAATGCGTGCTACTCAACAAGAGGGTCGAAAATCGCCAAAAATGCTCATAGAACGGAGAGGTCAATCGATGCGCTCGCTGAATTTTTCCGAAAACTAAGCTACTACGCTCACTCGGTAAGGGAGAAGTTGTTATGAAAGATACTGTCCATGATTCATCCTACTGCAAGTCATTTCCGATGCTAGATGAGTTTGGAGTGGAGGGGGACGACCAGGCGACGGCGCGTCTTCCGTGCGCGATGGCACTATTGAGGAAGGTCCTTTAGGAAATGCCTGCTTTCTCGAAACGGTTTTTTGCATGATATAGGGGTACATGCATGGAACACAGAACTGTAGTTCATTTTTCCTGAGGCCCTCTGAATACCAAAAAAGGGGTGATGAAGTGGTCCGTGGTTCGAATCCTCGCAGTGACAATTTTTTGCATTTTGTGTTGGCGTTTCAAAATTCGCGAAAAATAGCGTCAGCGTAAACAACTTATGTCATATCTATAATTAGGACCATCAGCAACCTTTATACGTAGACTTTGGCTAAAAAACTGGTGAAGAAAGTTAAGAACGGCAGTTCCTTAAGAAATTTTTCTTCGCTCCTTTTTTGGTATTCAGAGGGTCGCTCAGGAAAAATGAACCACAGTTCTGTGTTCCATGCACGTACCTCTATATCATGCAAAAAACCGTTTTGAGAAGCTGGGCATTTCCTGGAAGACCTCCCTGGTAAGCCTGAGCCCAGAAGGAGTCTCAAATGTGTCGGAACTGGGATTCTGTGGAATCTCAAATCACATTATCAGCCCACTCCTTCCTAGGCGCAGACTTACAAGGGAGGTCGTTCAGGGTGTGCCAAGCTTTTTCAAAATGGTTTCTTACACCAAAACGGCCTGCATGTGGTGTCACACCTTTTTCACCAGTTTTTTAATCAAAGTCTATTTGTAAGGGTTACTGACGGTCCTAATCATGAATATGGTATTCATGCTAACTCCATTTTGCGCGAATTTTGAAACGTCAACTCGAAATGCAAAAATTTGTCACCACGAGGAATCGAACTAGGGACCCCTTTTCTGGTATTCAGAGGGCCGTTCAGGAAAAATGAAC